ACATGGCAAACAAGAGTGTCCCAATTGCCCTCCCTGGTTTCAACGGAGTCCCATTCTTCACATGACTCATCAAATTGGTGTAATACGTCTGATGCTTCAAGGATAATGTATTTTTTGAGAGAGTGAAAGATAGCTCAAGTGATTAGAGCTTCCCTCCTGATTTCAGAAGATCCTGAGATTGATTCTCACCCCTGCTCTTATGGCTCTTTAAACACCAAAAATATAATATATTTTTTGACGTGGAGAAATTCTTAATTATCATCACTTATCTATTTATGATAGAGTATAAAACATATTCTTGGGCCTCAACCATCAGCTTAAGCTTTTGGTTGAGATGGTCCTCTAATATGGTATCGGAGCCAACATGACACAAAGGTCACGGGTTCGAATCTCATCCAGCCCCCACCTTCAAGTGGAATATTAAGCGCTTCTAGCCAGATGGGCTCTCGTGTGAAGGGGCGTGATAGAGTATAAAACATATTCTTGGGCCTCAACCATCAGCTTAAACTTTTGATTGACATGGTCTTTTAACAATTTATTTATTTTTGATGGGAACTATCATCACTTATCAAGGAATATGTTAACTAAAGTGTTAAATATATTGTATATATTAGTCAAATGTACATCATGTTCTAATACAGACTAATATCATTTTTCGCAGTCATAATGCACATCATGTTCTAGGTACATTAGTACGTAGGATAGAATAACAGTTGGAAATGGTTGTTGCCTCGTTGGCGTTGATTCATGGGAGTTATCTAATAAGCTGCCGGATTTCCTCCATTATTGACCCAATAGAAGAAAATGTGAATCTAAAAAATTTAGATATTGTAGAAAAATATACGCTAAAAGCGAGGCTTGGGTCGGTTCAACTATTGGGCCAAACTCAAACAGGGTTGATCTCAACACAATTGGCCGTATCAGGTTTGAGCCTAAACCAAACTGGTCTAGGGTCTACTACACAAGTCTAGTATGGGAATCTTAAGTTTAAGAATTTTAAATAATGAACTAAGGGTGAGTTTATCCTCAGACTCAGACTCTACACTATGTTATATTAGCTTTTCACTAACTTTTATTTACTTTTTTATTATTCAGACTTATACAAGATTCTTTCCATTTTCACACATTATCCCAAGACTCAATCTAGACTCACTTACCCTCCTAAATACTAACATTAATTTATTTATAAATTTATTTCTTTTATAATTATTCAACAACTTGTGATGAGTTGGCAATATATTATTGGGCCATGCAAAGTTTGTCAGCTTATTGCCCCCACATGCATAGTCTTAAGATGGGTTTTCATCTGTCAAATCGCATGCAAGACTCATGATAGTCTTTTATGACATTATTGCCAAAGTCTTGCATGAGACTGTTCTTGAGACTCCGCTTCAGACTTGCGATAAAGTCACCCTAAGACTAGTAAATGTTGCAATTAGTATAGGACTATAGACTAGTTCAAAAGTAGGTTCATGTCCTATTGTGGTAATAATAAGGTAATATTAAAGTGTGACATGGATTGAAAAATAAGATGAGTGTACAAATAATACTACAGAGTAATTAATTTTCATAATAAGCCAACAAGCAACAAATTTTGAATCGTACTTAATCTTAACTGACTTCAAAACAAAAACTCCGTAGCGCATAACAAATACTCGTATGTCACAATCCAAACACGACTCACATATAGGATATAGCCTATGTAGGATCCAAAACACTGCCACATATATAACTTTTAGTACTATATAATGAAAGAATAATTTTTAAATATTTCTTGATATTCAGAAAGTCATTTCAAACAATTCAATAACCTAACAATATAGATATTTTTTAGGGTCTACCAATAGTGGAATATTTAGCGTTGGGCATAAGCTTAAAAAGGTTATCATGTGAAGAGCCATGATAGGTACAAAACACCTTAAAACTCTAATCATCTGCTTAAACTTTTAGAGTAAAACAAATCTTCTCACAAAAATATAAAAATACATAGAGTATAACATTAAACGCGGGTGTATAGTAGACACATAAATCGATAATTGACATCTTAACAAGAGTGTGGAATTCATATAATAAAGTTATAATAACGAAATAGACAGAAAAAAAAGAGCTGGGAAGTTCGTAGAATTTTCGTAGGTAGAGCAAGCCAAGAGATCGAAGTCAAATAGTCAAAGGGTTGATACGTCAATCTTCTTTCTCTCTCCGTTTACTTCAACTTGCATTGATCTTTCACACACACCATTCTTTGCCCATATAATTAAGGTACCATTTTATCACATTTATACATTAATTAAAACTATATAGTATATACTTTATATTGTATATTGCTAATTAGAAGTATAAGGTATCAAAAGAAGATCAATTATCTTGAGATTGAGTTTGTTAATCTTTGATTCCAAGTTTTAAACTCGGGTTTTGGGCAATTTGTATATTAATCAAGGTGTTGATATGGTTACTCAAGTAACTCAAGCTTCTCCTCAGAATAGCGCAGTAAGTTTTCTCTGCTTTATGTTTGATCATGTTTTTATTATTGGATTAAATCTTTTGTACTCTGTTTTATTTGGTATTTGTACATCTATTATATAAATGTAATTTGTAATATGATGTATGAACTTGATTGTTCCGTTGTTTACAATGGACATTCAATTGCAATGGTATACGGAGTAATTTTTAGCCAAGGATTGGTTGCTTGGATTAGTTAAGCTATTAAATGGCATCAATTAGGTACGTCACCAAGAATGTGACACCATATAATTCAAGAAAGTACTTGAAAAAATTAAAAAAAATCCGTGCGACACGCGTACACAAAACAAAGGGAGTAATATGATTTAAATTTTGTGTTTATATCTTCGATTGCTCTTAAATTAGGCTGAGAATTCTTCCTAGTGAGTTCATCATGAACATGTTTTATGTTCAATTTTATTGATGTTATTTAGAAAATTTAAATATGAACGAAGTATATGACAGCTATCTCGTATTTAATTTTGAAAATTTAGAATTCAATATTATATATACTACTATTAAATTTATATATGAACGAAGTGCATGCATGACAGCTTCCTTGTATCTATGAGACTATGAGAATGGAAATTGAGTTTTTGGTTTCACTATTCATCTATTCGACCATAGTATTAAAGAAGGAATAAACGTCAAATTAACAATGTACTATATATATTGTATATGAGATGTACATGAACATAACAATATTAATAATTTACAATATTCCTCTTAAACAGTATAGTAATTTATAATCGATTAATTAGAATTAATTCTTGTGCTGTATAAGTTAATCACTATAATTCATGTAAGTTAATCTCCCAAGATAATATATTAGTATTATTTTAAATCCTTAAGTTAAGCCGTTAGTTGACAGTTGACCCTTAAAATATGAGAATAACAACTTCTCACCATGTGACATTTTTTTGCTAAGTTCTGTATTGGACAGCCTTTAATTTTTTTAATAATTCATGTAATCATGTGTTTACATATATTTTTAGGACTAGTTTGTACGGATGTGCTCACAAGTTAACAGAATACAAATTTGATTGTTTGATAATTTTGTGTTGATCACTTGAATTGCATAATATTGTGGTACATAACTAACATAAGTGATTGTTATACTATGACGCATGCAAATTAAATAAAAATTCCAATCACCCTTATAAAAGGATCGTCTAACTTGTCTTTTTGTGTATGTATGCATACCCTTTCCTTTGTGGATGATGACATATTAGGCCGTTTATAATAGTATTTATTAATCCTATGTTTCGAATATCACCTTTTAATAAATAAATTATTCAAATTATTTTGTTGACATTTACCCATACAAAAAATCACGGGATAGGAAGTTGAGCATTTTAGGGAGCAAGGGAGAATAAGTTATATAAGTTAGAAGGTATGTAGAAATAATAGGTTTGAAGTTTTCATGTCAAATGTATGAGATTATTAAAGCCTTACACTTGTCTTTATAGTTAAAACTGAAATTAGAGTGAAGTAAATATTTAAATAATCTGGTGTTTATGTAATTTTAATAACAAAAGGAAACAGGTGCCACAAGTTTTTCGCCCACCAAAATAAGAGGCTAGATAAACTCGATCTGTCAACTCTTAAGTGTTGAATAGTGGTAAAAAAAACAATAAAAGAAAAAAGGAAAAATGTTATTTAACAAATATCAAGCAATATTTTACGCAAAGTCATGTTATTAACAAAGATTAAGCAATAGAAACAATCTTTTCCTGTGTAATTATGATGCAAATTGCAAAGTGATAATACTTTTATCAAATTTGCCAATATAAAAATTAGTGAATTATTAAAATTGCACTGAATTATTCTAGCTGTGTTCCAAAGAAAAACAATATACGATATACCCCGTAATGTCATTTATGTAGGTGCAACCATCACAATAAATAGTACTCTTTATGAAGTATCACGTACTTATGAATCTTAGTTGGTTCAAAAATGCATAGTTTTATGTGTAAGCTAAGGCTGGTCTATTAGCCATATTAACTAAATATTATACATCAAAGGTAAAGACATAAATTTTATCTTTAAATTGTTATTAGTTACCTTGATATAATTTAAAAGTTACCCTATTTTATCATATTAAGGTATTTTATTTATAAAAAAACTGACACGATAAAAGACACTCTTACATCATTACAGTAATCATATTATTCATTATAAAAGGTATACCTAAAAGATTACTTTTCAATTAATAATAATAATAATAATAATAATAATAATAATAATACGGAGTATTAGATTATATTTATCCAATTATCCCAAATAAGGTTAAAAGTTATATAATTATAAAAATAAAATTAATTTACAATACAATTTTTAATACATTGAGTGCAACCAAAAGTTTTTGAAAAAAAATACGAATACTCATGTTTAGCTCCTTAACCAATACTTCTATTTTTTGCTCCGTAAAAGCTACTATTTCCCACCAAAAAAAATTAATACTTCTTTTTTTATTTTAATTTTTTTTTTGAGGAAAAAAAAAATTAATACTTCTATTTTGAAATATTTTTAATTATTTTTACAAAATTGATACGTCAAAAACTCAAATTCTTGTTACACCCTCTTATCCTTTTAATAAAATCCATATACATGCATCATAAAATATAAATAAATAAATAAATAAATAAATCATGATTCTAGATTCAATTCACTCGTTTTATTGCTATGTAAAGCAGTAAATTTCCACAACTCATTGACAGTAAGAGAGAGATTAAAACTTTACCAAAAGAGGAGATTTGGTGATTACAAGTTTACAACTCATATATTTATATGCAAAGTGTGTAACGCATTATCCCTTCAAAAAAAAAAAAAAAAAAAAAGGTGTGTAACGCATTACTTTTATTTTGCGCACAATTTCAGTAGGAGATTCAATTCCCAGAATTTTAATCTCCTTCTGTTAATTTCCTAGCCAAATGGATACTCGACCTCCTTCAAAATTCGCAGTATGATTTCTTTTCTCTTTAATTGTTTATGATTTCTTTTATTGCAATTTATATGGTTCATATAATATACTTAGTTTATTGTTTTAATTTGAATGTATTCATATATGATCATTATATCTAGCTTTAAGAATTTTTTCGATCTGTTGTTTTTTTCTTGATTTCATATAAGTTAAAGCGTGTGACAAAATTTTAAATGTGAACTAATAATATTTAGAGACAAATGGAGTAACGAATTAACCTAATTCTTATTTGTTTAATGGTACCTTGTCATGTTTATTTGAATATTTTGTTTTTTATGATTAAAAAATTGATATAGGTATTGACAAAATAGTTGAATTATAATTGTATTTTGCACAATCTTTGATAAACCTTGATTTATTTTTAATTATTTTTTTCTTTCCAACCCCTTGTAATTTGATCTCCAAGAGCATCTTAGGTGGTATTTTAAACCCTTAAATTATATGATCAAGAATTCCGGATCACAACTTCTCACCATGTGACAATGTGACATACATTATTTGTCTTCTAATGAAATTTGAATTTAATTTATCCAAGCATAATTTACAGGATAGGATGATGGTATTGATTTAATTAATTGTTCTTTTTAGGGAAGTTTTTGAAGATTTCTTCATTATTTATTTTTTTATTTTTTTTATTTTTTTTTGAAACACCAGTTTTGAAGATATTAATGTACATATAATACTTAAAGTAAATATGTTTAACCATGAACCTGGTCAAACTCTTTGTTCAAGTACATCTAAATAGTATATTTATTCCTGATACTTTAGTTCACATCCTATCATATCATATATATATATCACTAATAAATAAAGCCGGTCTCGCAGCCAGGCCACGAGACAGCGACACTTGGCATTTCAATTTTTCGTCAAGTGTTGCGCCACGTAGGCGACAAATAGGTATTATTGTGACACATATGATGCAAAGTAAGCGATTTTTGGATAGATTTTTTAAGATAAAAATGTTGTATAGAGTTTTATTATCAATATACTTCTAATATTTCAATATAATTAATCGTAACATTTAATAAATATCATATAACTCGGTTTTATTTTCATCATAAAATAAATAATAGAGAATCAACAAATATAAGTTTTAATTAACCAGTAAAAATAATTTTGATTTGGTAAAAATACTTTCAGTTCAGTAAAAATAATTTAAGTTCAATAACAATAATTTCAAGTTAATAATAACATAAATATTTATTTACAAACAAAATTACAAAAGGTACACTATTCTATAAACGTATGTCTAAATAGGGATTACATGACCGCATTAATAAATATTCAAGGCAAAAAGTTTATCCTAAAATTTTATCAACAATCCGAGCATCGTTCAGGCACAAAACTAGTAACCTGAGAACCCTACCCAAAATACATTGAGAGAAACCCAAACCCTACTTAAATCGAACCCAAACAACGTGAAGCCTGATTTGACTCATTTATCACATTTGTATCAAGATTAAATTTACACTTTTAATAGCATTGTTTGAAATCAGCCAGAAATTCTACAATTATACCGAGTATTATGTTGGTGATGTGATCATGTAAAAAGAACTTTACCTTTACCTTTACCTTGCATCCGTACCCATTATTCCTGCCGTTCTCTATCTATTATATGCTTTTATATATGGACTTTTAAATGTAAAATATTAGTTTATATACGCAAGAAAAGGGTATACATGGCGTGACGTGATGGCCATTTATATTCAACCATAGTCCATAGCTAGTTCTTTAGGAAAATCTTGCTTGTTTAGAATATTTATTAATATGATAATGACTGACATAGTTGAACTTTTGTCCTTAAAACTTATAACTCGGCTTTCAAATCATTTGAATTAAGAAAAATGACATAATAAATTAATAGTTAAATTGAACAATTATATATATGTATATATATATAAAAAGGGAGTGAGAAAATTCAAAAGTTATTGTATGTAGGAGTAGTTCATGGTAGGAATGTAATGTGAAGTTTAAGGGCGTGGACTTGACTTTTATCATAAAAAGTGATGTAATGATAGCAGCTTATCCCATTAGGAAGTCTACCAAATCAAAAGTTCATAATCTGGCAGTTTCCTACTTTTTTTGGGGTGTTTTTTTGGTTTGGTGTGAATTATTAACTCCAACCAAAAAAAAAAAAAAAAAAAAAAAAAAAATCTCCAACCTTTTTGGTCAATTTATTAAGTGGGTGATTCTACAATTGACAAATTGTACAAATATGGCTCCTTCTGTCCCCAGCACTTCGTATGGGCGTATTAATGTAAATATCTCTTTTTCCTATCTTTAGAATAGTAGATTATGTGAATCATTTGGGTTGTTGTTTTGGGTTATCATGTTTTCATTTCACATTGATGATAATCTTTAACGATAAAAATTAAGCATTCACGATAAAAATGTGGAATAAGTATAGGGAATTAGTAGTTGTGGGATAAGAATAAAAATGTTATTTTTCTTTGTTTGGTATAAGTTGGAAATCAGATTAGGATTACTATGAAAACTACTTGTATTTTTAATTTAATTACAATTACTTATCTTTCCTTGGTTAAAAATGTCTTTTCTCTCTCATTTTTATCCCCATCCCTTATACAGTTATGAGTCTTATGATGACAACTTCCCCTAGTTATCATTTTCGAGGGATAACCAAGTTTTTAGTTTGCTAACGACTTTTTTTTTTATGGTCAACCTTCAATTTACTTCAAAAGTCAAAACTACAAATCGAGCTGCTATAAACAAGCAAAATGTCACTTAAATTTAATTTCAATTCAAATCATCTATCAATTTCTCGTAAATGATTTAGACAGATTGAGGTAATTAGTCTTTACGGATTTAGGTTATTTGAAATGTTTTAACAAATTTGCTAGATATCTCTTAAATTTCAATAGTGGTAAAATTCTTATTTAATCTAGTAAAAGTTTTCCAATGATTTTTGAAAGAGCGAGGGTAAAATGGGAATTCTAAGTTATATCTCTCTTTACAATTACACTATAAACATAACTATTGATTCTAGATGGTGGGAGTCAGTCTACTGAAAGAGCGAGGGTAAAATGGTAATTCTTAATTATGTCTATTGCAAATTGTCTTAGTGGGGGTGCTGCTTAATTTAAAGTGATGTATCACACAATTAATAGTAGACATGCCCTTTCATGTGAGCAAGTTGTCACTTAAATTATTTTTCTATAATTTTGTCAAATTTCTAATTTTGCACTCCATGTGTTATGGACTTAAAATAAAGACTTTGACTCTTCAATTTATGCTAAGCTGTATTTATGCTGTCAATTTATAAATTTTCTTTTAAAATTTGGTGGAAAAAAAGTTGAATTCAAACCTTTTACTTCGTATATGTTTATTTATATCAATGAATTTTTACCAATTTTAAATGCTAGTGCTATTAATTAGCCCCGCGAACCCACCGTTTAGATAAATAAAGTTATAAAGATATTTTAATGATCAAATTCACGAGTATATAATTGTATAAATATAGGACTTAATTCATATAGTATGTTTCTTTTGTTGATTTTAGCTCAATTATAGTACCTTTTTTGACGTATGCTTTGTGACTACCTTTAATTTACCAGATTTGTTTCACATGACAATTCTAACATAATTGTGATATCTTCAATTCGATGATGATGAAAAGGACTCATTTTTCTAAATTTGCGAACTTTGAGTAATAATATCGATAAGATAATAACGTTATGAAGTATGTTCGATTTTAAGATTTTGTAAAATAGGTTCATAGTAAAGTTTGTGAACTGTTGAATTTGAATGACCAAGGAAATTTTCCTTGCATTATTTAGGATGTACGATATCATTTTGTTACGTTGTTTTACGTAAATTCTTAACATACTTCGTATTTATAATTTTGGTGTACGTTTTATCAGGATATTGAAGCAAAGTTAGCAAAACAAAAGGAAATCGATGATTGGCTTCCCATCACATCTGCAAGGAATGCGAAATGGTGGTACTCTGCCTTCCACAATGTCACTGCCATGGTTGGTGCCGGAGTCCTTAGTCTTCCATATGCCATGTCTAATCTAGGATGGTAAGCTTTCACAAAATTGCAACATATTCATTTGTAGTCAAGATATAATTAGCTTGTTGCTAGGGCACGCGCCTTATTTTTCAATTTTAGCAATTAAAATGGTCGAGTTGATTAACAGTTACGAAGTAACAGATTATGTAAATGTCTTACGAAGAAAAGTATGTTAAATTGCCTAAACATCGCCTATTCCAATATTGATGTTACCTTTTCTACACTATGGACAACGAAAGGGTGCATTTTTTATATCGATAGTTGATATATTTTTGGTGTGTTACAGGGGACCAGGAGTGGTAATTCTAGTACTATCATGGGTCATAACATTGTACACCCTATGGCAAATGGTGGAGATGCATGAGATGGTACCAGGGAAGCGATTTGACCGGTACCATGAGCTAGGACAATATGCCTTTGGGGAGAAGCTAGGCTTATGGATTGTGGTGCCTCAACAACTTATTGTTGAAGTTGGTGTTAACATTGTTTACATGGTTACCGGGGGTAAATCCCTTCAGAAGTTCCATGATATTGTATGTTCTACCAAGACCAATTGTGCACCTATGAAAACTACCTACTTTATCATGATCTTCTCCTCTGTTCACTTCGTCCTGTCTCACCTTCCTAACTTCAACTCCATCGCCGGTGTTTCATTGGCAGCTGCTGTTATGTCCCTTAGGTGCACACTTGAACGAGCAAGACATCTTGTAAGAGTTACATTAAATATATTCCAAGGCCTTAATTTTTAACTAGTAGGAATTTTTTTTCCATGTGATGTTGCAGCTATTCTACAATTGCATGGTCAGCATCACTAGGGAAAGGTGTACAGCCAGGCGTTACTTACGGGGCTAAGCACCATAGTGATGTAGGGAAGATGTTTGGCTTCTTCAACGCGCTAGGAGATGTGGCTTTTGCATATGCAGGACACAACGTTGTGCTCGAAATTCAAGCAACCATCCCTTCCACCCCAGAGAAGCCTTCCAAGGGACCCATGTGGAAGGGTGTTATCGTTGCCTACATCGTTGTTGCCATATGCTATTTCCCTGTTGCCCTAATTGGCTATTGGGTTTTTGGAAGCAATGTTAAAGATAACATCCTCCTTTCCCTTGAGAAACCGGGTTGGCTTATTGGTATGGCCAACCTGTTTGTGGTCGTCCACGTTATTGGAAGTTATCAGGTGCGTATCCTTTTTGAAAATTTGTACAAGCGTATATCATATGTACCAGCTGCGCACCCAAATAATTCATGGGTGCGCACAATATATCCTAGGAAATGAACTTGAAAATACTACTATATGATTACCATTTTGGTTTTCATATGAATTTCCAAGATTCATTCTAATCACGAGCTTTTATTGTTTTGTATCTCAATCTAGATATATGCCATGCCGGTTTTTGACATGATAGAGACTGTGCTAGTGAAGAAGTTGCATTTCAAGCCTACTTGGTACCTCAGGTTTATTAGTCGCAACTGTTACGTGGGTAAGTATCAATGTTCTTATTCTATACACTTTAGTGTTTGATATATCTCTTTACAATTACACTATAAACGTAACTATTGATTCCGGATGGTGGGAGTTAATCTACTGATCGAAATTTGATTAACCATTGATATTATTTCTACTTCCACAGCATTTACAATGTTTGTCGCGATTACATTCCCCTTCTTTGGAGGACTTCTTGGATTCTTTGGAGGATTTGCCTTCGCTCCAACTACTTACTTTGTAAGTCCATTTTACATATGAAGTACCTTAAATTTATCAACATTTTATCTCGAGTTCTAATTGTATTGCACATCTCAAATGTTCTAATTTCCGTCTATTTGCAGCTTCCTTGCATCATGTGGCTTGCTATTCACAAACCCAGGAAGTTTGGCCTTTCATGGTGCTGTAATTGGGTATGTCTTTCATTTCTATTAACAATTTTTTCTGAGGACAAAAATTTCAGCCCGAAACTTTGGGCTAAAATGAGTCTTTTTACTTGTTATATATTGAATTTAGTCTCATAATATTGGCCTAAAATGTTTCCTGCTCACACATTTCAGGCTTGCATTGTTCTTGGAGTTATGCTGATGGTGTTAGCACCTATCGGAGGGCTTAGACAGATCATATTAGACGCGAAAACCTACAAGTTCTACTCATAAGAAGTGTAGTGTCTTGAAATTTGTGGTTTGATGATTAGCATTGTAGTATTTCTTTTGATAATGGCAAAATGATGAATCCAGCTACATTGCTTGTTTAGTATAAGTTGGATTATACATTTTAACTAGGGTAAAGTCAGTTAGACACATTTTCGGAACCTGCTAGTTATCTATTTGTTTATAATTTTTCAAATTGTGTGCATATAGAATGAATTTCTGCTCTGAGTTTCCAATTAGTCACAGAGTATTTACAAATTATGTAAAAAGGGTTGTGTTTGCTGGTATATGCTTTCAGACAGTTTCTGAAATAAGGTTTAAATACACAGTTGCAGACATTTTGCCTTTCAAATCTTCAGATTTGTACTGAGACTTGCATTTATTGATATCAATCTTGCTGCCTTATGCTTTCCCTGAATGGTAAGAGTAACACTAGATGTCGAATGTCTTTTCAGTTCAGTTTCAGCTGCAGCGAGAGGACCGGTTTCAGAAACATATGCAAACACAAACACTAAAATAATTTAATTTCAATCAAAGCAAGTTTTTGTGCTATACAAGTTGCCTGTATTTACATATCTTCAACTTTAAAAACAAATTTCTTTCTCACATACAAATATCCCCTTCACACCCTCCAAGCCAAAAGAAAATGGAAAAAGATAAAGAATATTAATAATTTCTAAAAGTAAAAAATAATCTAGAAAAGATTTTTTTCCGTCGTCTATGTACTTGAGAACCAAAACACCTTTGGCTTAGGGTTAGTTGCCGAACTTCTGATGGAAAGTCCGCCTTAATCTCATTTTGCTTGTGTGTCGTTAGATAATCACAACAGTGCTGCACAATTGTGCTTTACAGGGTTTAGTTGAGGAAGTCTCTGTCATAGCTTCAGAGCATTAAATATAGTAATAACTGTGATTCATAGTGTGATTTATCTAGTCATTTCCTTCAATATAGTTCAAAGTGTGATTCAGCTGGCTGTCTTTCTGTTAATAAAATCTACCAGATCTTGTAGGTTCAAACCCCCGAGAATAAGGGTTGGCAGAAGATCTCCACATATCTCGCCATTGTCCTCCACTATTACCTCTTTCTGCAGTGTTAAAAGAAGTTTCAGTGTACATTCTTGAAGCATTGCTACTACTTTTCCTCCGGCCATTCCTTGTCTCCTCGTCAATGTCATATTGAAAACGCTGCAAATGAATACCAATAGTTTTAGTAAACAAAATGAGTTATTTAGGAAAGATCTTCGATCAATTCTAATAAGCTCAAATGTCATCTCTCAACTCCCCAGTGTAGTGACGTAGTGTATCATGTATGTTATGATAGGTTGCAAAGTGAAGGAGCAAGTCAAGCAACTCCTATACATTTGATATTCAACACAGTTATCCAGCAGTATCTCAACTATAAACTTTATGCAAAAGTTACTAAAACAAAAAACACAAATTAACCAAGGTGACTTCTCATCTGTTTTCAGAAATGGAAAATCTCTTGGCCGTGCAATTCAAAGAAAAATTCTTAATCTGTTCAGCTTCATAAGAAAACTTGATTTATTTAGAATGATTCTTTTTCAGTGCGATTCTTTTTCAATAGTAAAGATTAGATGCGAGGGGATTGGATTTAAGAGTTGCGAAAATCCAGTAACAATAGTCTGGTGGCTGCCACAGCAAATTAAACATTATGACAAATATCAGATTAGTCATGTAGAATAGTTATTTCATCAAATCTATTTCAATAACCCTCAATATTCATTTTGAAAAACAGAAACTCAATAACCTGAAAAAACTCAGGAGAGGACATTTCTTTAAAGTCCCACCAAGCACCCTCTGCCCCCTCAAAAAATAAAAAATAAAAAGAAACACACAGAATTTAGTGACAAGATGATCTTTTCTTTTAAACTATTATACTCCATTGTCTCAACCAAACAACTTTATCACCCAATCAATTTACATTTTTCTGTTAATAACAAACATCATTAATTTAAAAACGTTTACAATTCCAAGCAACATAATAAGTACTTCCTCCGTTTCATATCGTTCTTTCCACTTTGACCAATTTTGCCCCACAAAAAGATTTCAAGTGAGAAGAACAGTGTGAAACGGAGGGAGTATCTACTATAGTTTTTGGTTTTCAAGTTCTTTATATAATTGTGTGAAAACAATGTGTTTCCAAATTGCTTCATTTCCTATTTTCATCATATTATCTGTTATGTTTACCCCTTGGTGTATACTGTTTCATTAATTTTGCAGAGACTTGCTCACCTAAATACCATAAAATTTAAATTGTCAAAATTCAGGCTCCCAAGACTACCACCTAGACATTCAACAAATGATGTAGTATTCATGACATCTTATATATGGTAAAATAAGGCCTTGTTTAGTTCAACTTATTTTTACTTATTTCAGAAAAAATAAGTTCAGATCAGATCAGATCAGAAAAAATAAGTTCAGATCATAACATCGTTTTATGTGCGGTTTTTTATCGCTAAATATTCTTAATTTCGTGATGAAAAAAAATTGTGAAAATTACATATTAATAAACTACACATTATTATGAATCTAACAAGATCCCACTTGATATATTTTTTCTTTATAGATTATCGTACACTTAAGGTCAAAGTTTGGTCAAATCAAACAATCAGATCAGATCAGACCAAACTAGATCAGATCAGATCAGACCAGACCAGATCAGTAAAAATAAGGTGAACCAAACAAGGCCTAATATATGAATAAAAAGAGCATTATAGAAATAGGTTTTACACATCACCTTATCAGGGTCTGAAAGAACAGCATATGCCTCACCAATCATCTTGAATAGCTTATCAGCATCCTTGTAGACGCCCTCCGCTATTTCCTTCCAGAGACCATCATCTCCACTTTCAGCTCTTGCCAATGATTGACCAGCCTGTATTAGCAAAAGTCATGTCAATTGCAACTTTTGCAAGCATTAAAAAAAATGGCAAGTGAAACAGCAATGTGAAGGCTCAAACCTTATCAGGATGATGCCTCAGAGCAGCTTTACGATAAGCTTTCTTCAGATCTATTGCTGTAACAGATGGCTCTACTCCCCTGCCATCAGGATAAAGACCAAGACTTATGTTATTAAGTACCAAATTCCAATTTTCCAGAATCAGAAAATCAAACTGAGAGATTTATAACACTTACAAGATGAGGTAAAAATTTAAAGGTATCCCTCTCTTAGCCTGTTCCTCCATCTGATAGAGCCGTTGTCGAGCTTGTCTTAGATCAGCAACAGAGCCCAACGGCACATATGCTCCTGAAGAAGTGGACTTCTCCTCTGCCTGCTTGGTAAGAAGAGACACAAGTCTCTCAAGATCTTTTGCTGCCTGTTCATAGTCTCTAATCATCTCAAACAAGGTGGCTCTTCTGGATATTGCCTGCAACATAATTAAGATAGCACCCTAATTAGATACAGTGAATGACCAGAGTACATAGTACTAACTATCTGGATCACTTTCAACGGTTAGCTTAAATAAGTAGACAGGGATAAGAGTCAAAATGTAGGTAACTCCTTCCACAGACACTCAATCATACCTTTCCGATAACAAAATGCATACTATGACAGTAAAAGCCATGATGAGCCATCTAATAGGGAAATTTTCTGAATGAATTCCAGAGCATCAACCTACACCTCTACCTTTTCTACATATTAATTACAAAACCATTTCTAAAAATATTACTTCCCCTATTCACTAATAGTTGCACCATTAGGTCCAACTTCGAAAAATGTACCGTAAACTTTCATTAATATATAAGAAATAAATTGTCATGCTTGTTAGTTTACGTAAACTTTCATAAACTTGAAAATGATGTTAATTTACGTAATGTTAAAACAATATAAAACCCTGAAGCCAGTAAGTGTTATTGGGAGCTGATTGTCCATGCATTAAAAAAAAATGCACTGATCTGAAATTTTTATAACTTTTGATGTCAATCTGAAAGTTCCCATAAGGCCATAACCAATGTTACCAACTCAAAATGTGTTCCTCCAAAAGGCTAGGTAGAGTTATAAACTTTAGTGTTTCTTCGTTAGGAACCAGCTAAGTTGAAGTTGCAGTTTAACAGGGTTCAAGTATAACAAATCACATAAAAAAAAATGTAATATAAAAACAGATTTAGTAATGCGGATATAATTGGTCCGAACCTTCAAGTAATGTTCATCCAAAGCTATTGCCAAACTGCAGTCTGCAATTGCATCAGTGACCTGCCCCAATGCTTGGTAGGCTGCAGCACGATTGGCAAAACATACTGCACTGAAAGGTCGGGACTCAACGTTAAATGACAAAGCAGCAGTATAATGTTCAACAGCTTCTTTATGCTTTCCTGCCTGAAAGGCTCCATTTCCTGCGGACTGCAAACAGGAGCAAACGCCTTACACCACAGACACATGAAAAATGCAGGATAGTTTACGGCAGCAATTTGAACTCCACCAGCATACTTAAACATAGATGACAGGATATAATCAAAGTTCTTTTCCCTGGATTACAAATGGACTGTTACCATGCATGTGAAACATAGAACTCCCTCCATCCCTGTATCTCACCATGTCTCACTCTAACACTGATAAATGTCTTAAAAACAGACATGAAGGAGCAAGACTATGAGATGCCAAGATATTTGACACCAAAAGCTACAAGAATAGCCAAAAGAACGGTTTAAATAGGGAGTATGATTCATGCCGCTATGCTCATAACACAGCCATAGAAAGCCAGCTTGTTTCCAACAATAAACAAACAAGAGACAAGCAAGAACACAACAGAAAGGGGAGAGGAGTCAAATAACATAGGAAGATCAAACTCATAACTGTCAAAGTCATAAATTGCTGACAAATGCAAATGGAACCCAAAAAGGAAGTACAAGTTTGACTTGAAGACTATAGAAGCCAACATACAAAAACCAACTCCTATCTGCTGACATCAAAGCTTGCTAGTTGTTATTGTAACAGAATGATATGCTACCTTAACAGGGGACAGTGTCCCTATATAAAAGTTACTAAAACACTCTTCCCTAGGCATTTCAGAATGAATAGAAAACTCTTTCCAACTTTTGTGCATTCTTTCAAGACGTAAAAAACAGTATGCAGAGTAGTAACATTTCCAAAGCATGGAGCCATGGGGACCCAAGAATTCTTCCAGGATTTTTTGAAGCTGAATCAGCTCAAGTAGGATGGAAACTCTAAATAGTAGAGATCCTTGCTATTCGACTCCGAAACTAATGTAGAACAACCTATTTCAGTCTGAAAACAGCTAGACAAGGGTACAGGAGTGTTTGACAAAGTAGACTACAAATAGACGATTAACTGTTCTGCGGTTGACAACAAAGATCCTGAGGATATTTTAAA